CGTTTGTTATCAAAAGATGATGCTTGATTATTATGATTTTTCAACATTAAAATGGTTGACATCATTAGAAGCGCATTCATTTAAACAAAAGCTATTATGAATCCGATCTGAAAAATAAAATGACATGCATCAGGAATTCATAATCTCTAATGTATCCAAGTTTGAACAAAATCCATCCATAAACACCAAGATCCAGTTCTGGAATGCCAGAAATACTTGATTTTTGATGATTGTTTAGCACAAAAATGGCTGCCATTTGGCCATTTTGAATCAGATAATCAAACCAATATATCTATGTTTATGATGTTTAATGAATATATACAATTTGAACATAATCAGTCAAAGCATGGCAGAGATATGGCACTAAAGTGCATCCATTAAAACAAAATGGCCACCAGTTGGCCATTTTAAATTGAATCTGAAAAATAAAATGACGTGCATCAATGTTACAATACATAATGTCCAATGTATGTACCAAGTTTGAACAAAACCCATCCATAAATGCCTGATTTTAATATTTTTTTAGCACAAAAATGGCCACCATTCGGCCATCTTGAATCAGATCGTATTGTGAATGTATGGAACCTATGATTACGGCAAATGTGCCTTACCACTGTATGCAAATATGCTCTTAGTTACGCCATAACGCACTGCAGTTTGACAGTTTGAAATAGAGTGTAGACATGCGCAATTCGAGTATGTGACGTCACAAATAACGTGCAGGGTGTAACTCTAACAGAAATAGAGCCCAATATTTCATGGTCAGACTGACTAACTCGGTTACGTTTACCCTTGAGAAAAGCTGTGACAAAATCATGATATTGTTCAGAGCTTATTGATCGGGAAGGAAACGGTAATCAACTGTCAATCCATATATACATTTTGGTGATATGCTTTTCCACTATTTAAAGAGAGAGAGAAAGCAAAGCAAACATTTCTATATATGCAAGACCTAATTATGTGGGTAGCCGTGAGCACGAATTTTACGTATTATTTTATGTTAAAATTATATTATCTTGAGTGCCCAAACATGCATTCTCAGTTGTTGTTTTTTTTTTGTTTTTGTTTTTTGCATTACTGAAAGCCTGATTAGATATAAAATTGAGGCTTTTTATTTTTATATCTTCCGTTTCCGGTAAGTTCGATGTTTTTTTGGCTGGTATCGTTGTCTATTCGAGTAAATTTAGCTTGATACACAACGCCAGACGGTTCAGACTCTCCGTCAAGTGGGCATGCCGTCTGGTAATTATATAGTTTATTTACTTTCCTGTTGTTAGTCGTGGTGTTTTAGCGGCGATCGCAATTCAATAGCCTTTGGGTGCCAAAGCTTGTCACCTTTCACGAAATTCATCCCCAACATTGCTGGGTCTGGTCTAAAATAAACTAATTATAGAGAAAAAACATTTTGAGGGAAACATTACGGAATTCAAAGTCAGTGAAAAAACAGACTACTAATTAAATTAAACTTTTAAAAAATTCGCTTGATGACATGAACAAATGATTACAAAGTATGACCTATATTACAGCTATAATTGGTGACTAGTCAGCAGGATATATACTCATTCCATTCCTAGTAGCATGACTGAGATGCCAGTGCTTCATGATAATATGCAATCGACCTCTATATCATATGACAGGTTTTAAAGTTACATGGTTTTCTAATAAACGATTTTCATTTATAATATATGTTGGTAGATAGAATGAGAGCTTGGTAAATCTCAAAAATATGACCTCGGAAGATCATACCGATGGTTTTACAGCTCAGGCAGCCGGGCAGACAGACATACAGACAGACAGACAGACAGACAGACAGAGTGAAGGGGTGAGTCTTTGTGATGAATACAAACATTGTAGGGAAATTAACTAATTCTTTCACAAACTACTAATGTTAACTAATCTTTTCACAAACTACTAATATTAACTAATTCTTTTACAAACTACTAATGTTAAATAATCCTTTCACAAACTACTAATGTTAACTAATTCTTTTACAAACTACTAATGTTAACTAATCCTTTCACAAACTACTTATGTTAACTAATTCTTTTACAAACTACTAATGTTAACTAATCCTTTCACAAACTACTAATGTTAACTAATCCTTTCACAAACTACTAATGTTAACTATTTCTTTCACAAACTACTAATGTTAACTAATCATTTTACAAACTACTAATGTTAACTAATCCTTTCACAAACTACTAATGTTAACTAATTCTTTTACAAACAATTAATGTTAACTAATTCTTTTACAAACTACTAATGTTAACTAATCCTGTCACAAACTACTATTGTTAACTAATTCTTTTACAAACTACTAATGTTAACTAATCCTTTCACAAACTACTAATGTTAACTAATTCTTTCACAAACTACTAATGTTAACTAATCCTTTTACAAACT